TTCCCTCCTGGGGAGCGTAGTGTAGGTTGAGGGGGGCTGAGTGAATGCTCACCCCATCCCACCTCGTTTCGCATCGGCGATCACACCGCTCCCGGCCGACAGCGCCCTCACGGTTGCCCGGCGGAACCCAGGAGGAGGCTGACATGAAGGAACCCCTTTTTTCTACGTCCCTCGCCTTTTCCCGCCAGTTCGGATGATCGGCGGGAAGGTTGTTTTTCACTGGGCTCCACTGTGGCTCACCGTCTTGATCCATACGGCCTCGCGTTCCAACAGGACGTTCGACGGGCGAGGCCACAGACGGTTCTTTCCTGGTAGATTGGAGGAGTCGGTCCCCAGTCCGCTCCCATCACCAGAGTTGAGGGATTCACCGAGCGGGGCTATTCCTCGGTAACCCCCCTAGAGCCAAGCCTCGCGGAAGCTTCCGGAGCGAAGCTGCCCAGGTCGGAGCAGCGTCCCGTCCCTCCGGAGGAACACGAACCAGACGGCGACCACGCTCTCCAATCGAGCCCACCAATGTGTTTTTCAGGCAGCCGCAGTTAGCAACAACGTGCGCTGCTAGCATATAGCATGTCCAAGGGACTGAAGGCCGCAGACCTGCCTTGGAGACAAAGAACTCCCTCTGTAAGGCAGCTGACGCCAGCGCGGATGACGATGATCCAACGATCCACCTGGCTTCGTTACTCCCCTCGCTGCCGGAGAAACTGCACAAGACCTGATGAAGCCCATCGCGGACGCGCTGTTCAGAGCAGCTTCAAACCATGCTGGCGAATTGAAACAGTCGGAGGAGGTGCCAGAGGCTGTGCGCCACCTCATCAAGCCGCGCGGCTCATCCCGACCCGCTGGAGGGACCGTCGCGAGCAAGCTTCGACTTTTCCACGGCCGCGGCTCTCGCTGAGTTCCACCACCAGCCCCGCCCGTCAGAATCCAGCCCTCTTCACCCCGGCAACCTGCAGCTCAGCGTTTCCCCAGAGTTCGCCTGCAAGACAGCGCTCTGGGCAAACAATCGCAGAGCTCATGAGAGAGGAGTTTCTCAAAATGACGGTCTCCGGAGGGTGTGTGTAAAAGTGACACGAAAGTTGAAATAAATCATCATTAATGATCAAAGTGTCTGTTTTTTAGCCAGTCTGTAAGCTCGGATGAGCTCACAGCAGCCGCACACATTAAGAGCCGGTGTCCTTAATAAGGTTTTTTAAACTCACCGCTGCTCCAAGACATTACTAGTCGCTTACAGGGCACGATGGTAAGTGAAAATAACCCGTTATAATCCCGAGCTGCACTCGTGGGATGGAACAGCCTCCACATGAGCCGGTGTCCTTAAATAAGGTTTTTAAACTCACCGCCGCTCTAGACATGACGAGTCGATCACAAAGATGAACAGCCTCCATCCAACGGCGCTGCGTTGATGCTTGCGCACACACACTGCTGCCGGCGCTAACCAGCTCACATCGGTATAAATGTGGTCCGCAGGCTGGTTCGGGTGGAGGTCCTTCTCTCTCACAAGAAGCGACACCCGTCTCAACGAATCAAACGCGGGCAGCCGTCACCCACCGCGTCTCAGCGTTCGGCAGTTCACCGCAGCTTAAACGTGAAGCAGCTGAAAGAACCCGGTAATGAGTCCCGCCTCCCTCCAGCGCGCGCCCCTCCAGCGAGAGCAGCGCGCGTCCCTCCAGAGAAAAACGTGTGCTCCCACGGGGCTAGCAGCCTTCACTCCAACAGCACGGCGTTAATGAAGTCACGCCCTCCGCCTTTTCAACGTTCGCACAGCGACGTCAAACGCGCAGCCCCACCGCGTCATCAGCTGTCACACGCTTCGCCTCAGCACAAGCCTCGCCCTGGATCACACAGAAAACATTCCCGCGACGCATGACGGCGGTTGAGGGGCGGACTGCTGACAGCCGTACAAAACATGACACATCACCTAACGCACGTTCACCCTACGAACGTTACGTAGAGTGGCTAAAACATGCTCGCCGTTTTCAGATGGATGGACAAGGTTTTATGCAAATGGTACAAGTTACAGTTTGCAACCCGAACCCCTCCATTCAGAGGAGTTATAAAAACGGTCCCGTCATCATCAGACTAAATCTCATCCCTAAATGCAGAAGTCCAAGTGTTTCTGATAAAAGTAATCTACAGAGTCCCCCAACGGAGAGAAAACACAGGGTTTTTACTCATGGATCGGAGGGGTGAGACCGTTTTTTGGATCTGTTGTATAACATCTAGAGAACGCATACCGATCATCCTAACACAGAGACGAGAGTTTTTTGTTTTACCTGGATGATCTGCTGCTCCTGTCACTTCAGACAGGAGGCGCTGATGCAGGATCAGGTGTTGACATCACACCTGTTAAATCTGGGCTTCGCCATAAATTGGAAGGAAGCTCGATTTTCCCGGCCCAGACATTTGTTTTTCTGGGAGTGGAATTAAATTCAACCACCATGAAAGCTCGTTTATCACAAACTAGATTCAACACTTTTTTAAAGTCAACTCAGCCACGTAAGACCTGGCAAGTGATAACAGCTGTCTCCGTCATGAAGCTGTTGGGAATGATGTCACTCACACAGTGGTTCCGCTGGTTTGTTTCACATGAGACGTCTCCAGAGGTGGTTTTGCACGTCTGCATGTGGATCCAGCAAAACAAACGACGGATGATCATTGTCCCTTCCTCTGTGAGAGCAGACCTCCGACTCTGGGGAAACACCTTGTTTTCTGTCAGAGGGAGTCCCCCTCAGCAGACCCACGTCACAGGGTCAGTCTTCACGGACGCGTCGCTGTCAGGCTGGGGGGGGGGGGGACATGCCTATCTCAAGCAGTAGGGGCGCTTTGGCCCCACTACACATCAGCCCACATCAACGTTTTGGAGTGTCGCACAGCACTGAATATGATTCAACACTTTGCTCCCGTGCTACAGAATCAACACGTGTTGATTCACACAGACAACATGATGACTGCTGCGTACATAACCATCAAGGGGTGTGCGTTCAGCCCAGATGTTACACATTGCGCGAAAGCTACTGTGTTGGGCTCATCAAAACCTGCTCTCTATTAGAGCGGTTTACATATCCGGTGTTCTGAACAGAGGGGCAGATGTGACGTCCAGGGGCGGCCCACGTCACGTGGACCAGACCCTCCATCCAGATCTGATGTTTTTCAGACGTAGCAGAAGTTGGCAAAGCAGCTGTGGACCTGTTTGCGACGTGAGAGAACGCTCAGTGTCAACTATGGTTTTCCCTGAGCCCGCGAGACGATCTATCGCTGGGGGGGGACGCATTTGCTCACAGCCCGTGGCCCAAAACGCTTTTGTACGCGTTTTTTCCCCCACCTCCTCTGTTTTTACGGTTCCTGAACCGAGTTCAGGAGGAGGGATTGACAGCTCTCCTGGTGGCTCCCGGCGTGCGAACGCACCATGGTTCCCAGGCCTGCACCGTCTGTTGTCGGGTCGCCGTGGAACTGCCGTGGAGGGAGGATGCTCTCCTTCAGGCAGGAGGAGCGATCAAGAGTTACCCAGAAATAGGTCAGCACCTGTGGGTCTGACCGCTGAGCGGTCCCACTTAGAGAGGATGGGTCTCCCTCAGGAGATAGTGTGCACAATTCAAGATTCACGTGCTGCATCTACCACAGCTCTGTACACATCAAAGGGGACGGCTTTTCAGCGCTGGTGTACAGAGAAGGTTTAGAGGCCACCTCATGCCTTTTAGGCGGCGTGTTGTTTTTCTACAACAGCTGATGGATAGGAAGTTGGCATTCAGTACGCTTTAACGTACGTTGCAGTCACCTCTTCCTGCCACGAAGGTTTCGGAGACAGAACAGCTTTTAATCACCCGCTGATGAAGCGTTTTTCTAAAAGATGTTCAGAGACGCAGGCCTGCTTCACGTCCACTTGCTCCACAGTGGGATTTAACGCTGGTCCTGCGAGCCCTGATCAAAGCTCCAATTGAGCCTCTGGATCAGGTTTTCACTTAAAATTCTTGTCTCTTTAAACAGCCCTGCTGCTGGCTTTAACACCCGCTAAGAGGATAAGTAATTATCTGCCCTCTCTGTTGCTTCGTCATGCCTTAGAATTTAGGCTGACGGGCAGCTCAGCTGATTTAAGACCAACCCAGCTTTTATGCCTAAAACATCACAAGCTCTTTTAAATCAAGTATGATATCGTTGGAGGGGTTTCTTCCCCCCCCCCCACCCCCCACAGATCAGAAGAGGAAGCATCTTTTCATCTTCTCTGCCCGGTGCGGGCGTTGACGTGTTACATAGCGCGCACAGTTGCAATGCGTTTCAAACTCAACAATTGTTTGTGCATTATAGAGATGCTTCTGCAGGTCGCCCGTTATCCATCCAGCGCTTGTCACACTGGCTGTGTGAGGCCTTTTCTGAAGCCTACAGAGCATCAGATTTAGAGCCTCCTGTCAACCTCTAAGCACACTCGACCAGGGGTATCGCATCTTGGACTGCTCTGCATAATGGTATGTCAATGCAGGACATTTGCACTGCGGCTGCATGGTCAACACCCTGCTCATTTATTCGCTTTTACCTACGTGATGTAACGGTTCGTTCCTTGACACATTCTGTCCTTAGTGCTCTAACAGAATGAATATT